CTTCCTTCCTCATTGCCCAGGTGTGGTCTCTGCCTGACACGAGAGATCTCAGGGGCTGGTTCTCACATGGCAGCTTGTCCCTCAACAGGAGCACTGAACTTCTCCACCCCACAGTAAACCTCCCTTTGGTCAAGGCAAATGCTTTCCCAAGCAATTTCCCACTTACTTAGATGTTCTGACCTCCTGGATTCTTGTTTGAAAAGACAAAGTCAACTGGTGGAGAATAAAATGGTTGATACAAATGTTTTACTGCAAGATGCGTGGCCAGGTTTGCTTCGGTGCTTTGGGCACACAGGGCACAGCAGGAGCAGATGCGGGTAAGGATCTCATCCCAGGTGCCCTGGACTCAAAGATGTCAGTGCTGGGGTCCCAGGATGCTCCAACGTGTCACAGAATCATGGAATGGTTGAGGTTGGAAGGGACCTTACTGAAGTGCAGGTAGACAATATCCCACTGGTCTCCCCGTCGTCTACCAGGCCAGGCATTTAACCCATGTTTTGGATCTTGTTTTCTCAGTAGAATGAATTTCTGTTTTCTTCTTTTTGAAAAGTTTTCTGGGCTCAGAAGTAGGAACCCAATCTCCAGTATGCAGTAAGACACACCGCAGCAACAGAAATATTATTTCATACATAGGAATATTTATTTTTTTCCTTCTTAAAAATGTACAAAAAATAAAATAACTGTATTTACAGTTTATCAAACCCCTCTCCCAGTTGCAACACTATTAAGTTACATGAGCTATTTTCTTAATATAAAAGCACACTATTTATACATAAAGTTTCCTTGTTTGCCAGAAAGAAGGCTTGTCACAAACTTTGGCACAAACATTCCTGTTTGTATCTTGTCTCAATTCATAGGAAATGGAAGAGCATATAAACATTTCATAAGCTTTACATTTTTAAAGTCCTAAAACACTCCTTTCCAGTTCCGTATCAATCAATATACAGCATCTCTGACAGCTAGAGAGTTTAGTTTTTACTAATTGTTTGAATTAATTTACAACATTTAAACAATCCATAGACTGAAAGAGGAAAATATACAAGAAAGACACTCAATCTCTGAATTCCACTGACCAAAAACTTCATGAGAGAGGGCATACGGGGAAAAAAAAAAGTTCTTTTCTTTGTAGTTTACATTCAGTGGTAAAAATCCTCCAAAATGTCTTGACGGGGATGTCACCATACGTTAACAAAGCTTCACTGCAAGGTTGCACTTTATTTTGGGGATATCAGCACCTGACTGTGTAGAAAGAAACTAAAATTTGAGATTTGGGGGTTTCATAATAAAACATCAAATGGACAGACATAGTGCCAAACCTGTAGCAGGAACCAAAATTAGAGCTTAGAAGACTATTCTCCTTTTGCACATCTCTATCAGAGTCTTTCGAAACACAACATCTACAGACACCACACTGCTCTAATTCATAGAATCATAGAATCGTCTAGGTTAGAAAAGACCCTTAAGATCATCAAGTCCAACCATTAACATAGCACTGCCAAGTCCACCACTAAACCACGTCCTCAAGCACCACATCTACCCATCTTTTAAATACCTCCAGGGATGGGGACTCAACCACTTCCCTGGGCAGCC